GCTTTTTCCGAGCACGGCGACGCATAAAACCGTATTACCTAGCATAACGTCACCACCCCTTTTGTGTATTCTGTAATGTATGAAGCTGAACCTGTTGTGGAGTTGGATATTCCACTGACTTATTGTCATGTAACAACCATTATGTACAGAGGACACTAGTTTTTATAATGTATACAGTGTGTGTATATAGTGTTGTCTATGTTTGAAATGACTGGAATTCGTTGTAAAAGATGAGCGAGAAGACCTGGAAGAGTCGACGTTTACTGTATATGCTGACAGGGAATCAGTCCAGAGAAACGGTGGGTGTTTTTTCGGTGGGGCTCTCGCTTCAGCCAACCAGTGTTATGATTCACTTTTACATTTTAGACTCGAGGAAGAAGATGGGAACAACTCTCAGGTGGCTCTGAGGGGCAAAACCAAATCACAAAAGACACAAAAAAGACAAATGGCTTTAAAAACACACACATTTCACTGATATGAACATAAAATAGAGCAAAAACAACAGAGAGAAAACTTGGGACAAAATAAAAAATTGATAAAAACTATCATTAACCCCTCTCACACCCCCCCCCCCCCTTTTTTTAACAGAACGAAGTTTCAGAAAAAGAGTCTTATATTGTAGATCAGTGAAAAAATGTGTTTCTGCCAATCCTCACAGCTCAATATTTCTAGGTTTAGTAAATCTGGCCCCCTAAAGTCTCTTTTTTATCTTTCTCTGCATTGCTGCCCCCTACTGGCCAATGATGTAACATTACATTAAAACTGCCTCTAAAATAAAAACAGGGAGTTACAACAGCTGATGGGTTTTTTTTTTCTTTTAAGATGGAGTCAAGAAGAAAGTTCCTGGAAATGAAACTTTGCAAAAAATTGGTGTGGTGTTTGGTTCATCATAGAATTTTTTTTTTTTTTAAATCCAACATTTTCAGGCCTTTAGGCTAATGCAAATTTGACTTTGACGAATTCCTGGAAGAGGAGAGTCCTGGTAGTCTAGTTTATTACCCAGCACCATACCCCCCCTCCACAAAACTTTGATTTACAGCCATCTTGTGATTTGCGGCCTCGCCAAAGTCCCCTGAGCTCTATCTTCCACTTCTGACAGGACCGGTTTAAGGAGTCTGAGCTGCCCATTTGGGTAAACCTAGGTTAAAAAAACAATAACAAACCAAAAAAAAAACTGAGACTCGGGTTTGCTGAAGCTAGAGAAAGTCCCGAACCGTTTCTGGATTCCCTGCCATGATGTTTCCTCTCACTGTTCAGTTGTTTAAAAAAAAAGTGAGGGCGTTCTGGTTAGAAGCGGCTGGTTTATTAAAAACTTCACTTGATTTTACTCACTTCTCTGTGTGCACATCCTTCTGAGCGCCAAGCAGCAGCCGTAAAATTCTGATAGCCTCTCAGACACGTTCCCTTTCTGGCGGCCGTGGAAACGCGTTGATTTAAGAGGATATTGGAGTCTTCTGTTCACGTTTGTATCATTTAGATTTATTCCCAAAACCTAAGGCTTTTCATAACTGCAAAAACACTCGTGTGAAGACAGTACCATAAATAATAATAACAGTATTTAAACAAACCTCATGCCTCCCGTTGGGGTTAATGCCCCTGTGGGCCTTCTTAACGTCTGGTGCCGACAGGCAGGCCCTCCCCGGCGTTTGACTGCGGTGGGGCGGTTGAGCAAACATGGCCGAGGGGTAAATGGAGGTTGACAGATGACGAGCGCGGCGCTGGGAGTCGTCCAGCGGCTCTCCGGCTTCAGCTCGATGGTTTTTATTTAAGAGACGCGCTGAGAAGAGGCCGTGGCGGTAACCATTAATACCGAGGCTCTCAGACATTCAAACATTTTGAGGATGGAGCCGCGCTGGCTGAAGAAAATCAACAGAGTTGAGCAGCAGGGGTCTGTGGGAAATGCTGGATTTCAGTGGAGGGGCTTGTGAAAAGCACCCAAATAACAAGATCAATCCTGATTTAGTCTCCCTTTCTCCTGGATATAAAAGGTGAATACAAGGGAAACCCAAAGGGAGATCCTCAAAAAATGTATTAAAACGCACCATCCCTCAAAGTCTTGATCCAAATAAGGTTTATTTTGGTCAAAGTTCATGGCAGGAGTTGGATGTAAAGTGGATAAAAAAAAAGAGATGATCTGAAACGCTGCTGTTTAGTTTTCCCCATTTTAATACCTGATCTATCGTTAACCCAGAGCCAACTCCTCATTCCTGAATACTTAAATAAACCTCTATATTTTTAACACACTATTACAAGGGAAAATACAGTCAGAGATCACCACAATGATCCCAAAATGTTCAAGGTCCAAATCAAAGATGATAAAAACAGCTAGACGGACCCTCAAGACCAGTTCAGGCTTCCATGAATACATGAACTTTGACTGTGTGTGTTACTTCTCTGTAGTTATGGGTTGGATCATGTTGAACAGAGCAGCCTCTCCAGCTGGTTGCCAAAGCAACCACAGAAATACAACTGAAACTAGAAAGACGTGCAAAACACCCGAAATGTCATATTTTTGGGGGGAAAAGCACCACGACCTAACAAATTTCTTATTCCCGTAGCAATTTCTCAACAGCAAAGATGTTTTACAGTCCACAGTCATCTCACATCTTTCCACAGGGACACATGAGGCCGCGAATGAATGTTATTCTGGACAATAGCGCGTCTTCATCTACAGGTTGAAGTGTAAACACTGCTTGAAGCCGGTAAAAGACGGCTGCTTCTCTTTCGAAATAATGAATAAAAGGGAGGATTGTACAGGATTCGACAGGTTTATTTGCCACACGCTCGGTCATATAAGCGTGACCTGAGTCGTTCCCTGCACAGAAGAGTGTTGAGATAAAAACAAAACCAATACCTGAACTAACAGCGGCTTCCTCTCAGAGTTCCAAAAACACGTATGTTAGGTTAATGAGAGTTTCGACGAGGAGGTGGGTGTGTTATTTGTCTGTCTTTCCTGTAGTGGACTGGTGACTCCCACCCAATTACAGCTGGGATGGGCTTAAATTTGTGGGTGGATGGATGGATGGATGGATGGATGGATGGATGGATGGATGGATGGATCCTCACTCACCAGTGAATTTTGGGTTAATGTTAGATAAGCAGATTTAATTTTCATAGCTTCACTTTATTAAGTAGAGAGAGATATTAGATTAATGTCTTTAGGTTTTAAAAGAAGAAAAAACACTGAAATATTCTTCTAACCCTAAGTGCCCACAAGGTGTCACCCCTTAGCTGTAGCAAGTGCTTTATTTATCACAACAAATATGATTATGTTGTAATTCATTCTACCATAATTCAAACTCAAAGTTATTCATGGCAGTGACAGTAATGAAAATATATTATCTTGCAGATGTTCTCAGCCTTGAAGTGAACGGTGTGGATTTGAGTAAATTCCGCAAAGTCCAAAATGGTGTCAAAGCATCTTCTCAACAGGCAGCTGTCATAGGTTGTTCCCAGTCTGATGATGTTTATTCCTACTTGACTTGATCCATAGAAAGAAAAAGAAGGTGCAACGACGTCAACCATTAGCCAAGGTTAGTTTATACATGTGGGGCACCAAGTAAAAACTTTTTTAGCTTGGTTAATAAATGACCTACAGGGGATTTGTTTTCATATCTTTAAAAATGGTGAACAAAACAAACACAAAAATAACTAAATTTGCTTTTGTCAGCATTATTTTGTACAAGTAATTGAAACAGCGAGAATGATGATATCAAGATAACAAAATCCAACATCGGGTGTCTTTAAATGACAGTAACAAAAACGTACACAGCATTCATTGTTTCTACAAGGGTGGAATATTCAAATAATGCACTCAATTTGCATTGGCAATGTTGGTGAGATTATAAAACACACTGAACTCATATTTTACCAAAATTATCACATACTCAGATCTTATTTTTGTATTTTATTATCCAATCGATTTAACATTTAAAAACAAGATGTACTTAGTAACTTGCCACATTCTACAACAACATAAAAAAAAATCAATTATAAAAGTTCAAAAATCGATAAAGTCTAAATCGATTAGTCTGCCTGCTCCACTGATCCATATGAACCAGCGATGGCTCTGCCTTTGATTATTTGGACTGACATCCGGGTGCAAACGTTAAGAGGACTCATGAGTGACTGTTAAGCCGGAAACTTCATCCATTTTGGCTTCAAACTAAAACACCACAAGGAAGCGTTTGAAGAACACGTCGACGACGATTATTTTTTTAAAGCCCATCTGTCAAGAAATAATGAGCAAAATTTTGCTATTAAAGTAAACTAAATCTACAGGAAAATTAAAAACACGTCAGGTTACACGACTAAATTTGAACGTTTCTTACGTGACTTTATTTGCACACGAAGCGGAAGCTGGGCCTCAGGTTAGCCACCTTGACGCTAGCTTAGCAACTGCTGTTTAAAGAGAAGGGGGAAAAAAAGACGTACATTCTGTGGTGAATTTTTTATGGTTGTTTTTATAGTTTTGGTCTTACTCGGACTCTCGAGTTGTACATTTTAGCGTCGTTTGGTGCTGGCACTTCGAGACTAACCTGCTGGTTGACCGCAGAGGGTGACGCAGGGTTTTTTTCACCGAGCGTTTAAGTTTGCTCGGGCTGCTGTTGACATAAGCAGCCTCGGCTGAAGGGGACGGCGGCGGGGCAAATCCGAGTCACAAGACCTCTTCACCGAGCTGCTCTACTGGGGTCGCTCCACCACCCGGAGGTAACGTAAGGCATTAAAATTGACCATTTCCCCCCTCGTTTCCACCTTAAAACCGCAAATTTAACGCGACGCGGCTTCGTTTTGGCTAAGTTAGCCGAACAGTTGTGTCCGGTCCGTCTGACAGCTCGTGGGCGAACGGAGGCACGCGCGCTTTAGCCCGGCTGGTAATCAGCTTTCCGTCGTTGTCATCTCGAGGGAGCTCCAATGGCTTTTAAGTGGCAAAACCGGCTGGCCGAGGGGGAGAACCAGGGGAGGGGAACCACGAGCGGAAACGACGGCGAAAACTTCCTCGTCAAGTGAGGACGGGCTGCTTCTCTGCTTATCAGCCGGGTGATGGCGGGGGCGGGGGGGCAGCCGTTTCGACAATTTGTTAGTACATAGAAGCTGCATAGAGGGGGGGTGACAGGGGGGGTTGAGGGTTGCAGAAAAATAAGGACGCTTGCGAACAGCTCCTGAGTTTGAGGGACAATGTTTCAGTTTTGGGTGAACTTGCGTCGAAAACCGTCGGCGGTCGGAGGTAACTGTAGCCCGAAGCGGGTGGTCGTCCCGCGGGAGGAAGGGACGGAGGAGGGCCGGGTTGTTAAGCCTGTCCCTTTTGGTGTGGTCCGGCAGGGTTCGGAGGAATGGAGAACCCCGGGTACCGCACGGGGAGCTTCGACAGCCTTCATCACTCCAGCGAGGATGACGACGACGACGAGATGGTGGACATAGCGGGGGCCACGCTGGACTTCTCCACGACGGACGACGTCCCTCCTCTCGGCACAGGTAAGCTGGACTGGTTCAACTTCATTCGGTCCTGATTAAAGTATTTTGGCCCCCCTTAAATGCAAACCCAGAGACGGCAGCAGGTGAGTGGTAACGTAAACTGCACCCCCACGTTTTGAAACGGCTGAAAATGGATTCAAATGATGCGTTTTAAAAGTATGAAATGGTTCATTTTGGGTAAGCCAAGGGTTTGGAATGTGCTGACATTATTATGACAAGATTCCGGGTTTCTCTTGCACGTTTTTAGAACCATTTAAATCCAGTTTTGAACTCTGAGCACTGTGAAGACATCTATAATTAGACTGTCTGAATCTGGATATAATTGTTCTAAAGAGGCTGTGGAACCATAAAGATCCTGTTTCGGATTTGTGAAAGCTTTTCCTGATGTGTGATAATAATACAGTCACAGGCCTTTTTACTGCCTTTTTTGTTGTTGTTTTGTTTTTTGCATACTGATGGCCCATATTTTGGGTGGTCAAAATGCAAGACAAAGAAAGGAAAGAGACAGCTCGGGTATAAAATGCATTTCATGACTGCCCCCACTTTGGAAAAAGTCGAGTTTTCATAAAGGATCTTAAAATATGTGGTTAAAAACAAAACAAAATCAAAAGCGTTGTACCTCCATGACACTTTTTGCAATCCATTTAAGGTGCCTACCTCTCGTGGTACAGTTACAGCGAGACGTTAAACTGTCTGTGTCACCTTCTCTGCCTCTCAGGTTTGCGTTTTTCCTCTCATTTGGGATTCCAGGGGCTCTTTAATTATTTGTTTGAGTTCTGGCTTTAAACGCGGGGATTTTGTAGCAGGCCAGGCACTTTGTTGTCTCACAGTGACTCTGTGGGTTTACCAGTCTGGCTGATGTGTGGCCATCAGCACAGGAAATGAGCTGCTGAACGCACTTTAAAGCTTTTTTTCCCCTGTAGTTTTTCTAAGCTTTTTTGTGTGGACTCTAAAAGCCAAGGTTTTACCAAAAGAAAAAAAAAGTTGATTTGCTCTCCCCCATTGTCTTTTAACACGCCAAAGCCGTGATAAGTTATCCGCATTTGCATTGGACAGTGTGAGCTGTGATAATATGCAAGGACAAGCGGTTAATATACCCTATCAGGGAACGCCGTGTGTCAGACTCCACATGCCAACCAGAATTTTTTCTATTTTATCAGAAGCACATAGCAGCAAATTCGTTGAATCCGTGGAATCTGCTCTCCCTGCTCCCCCTGCTCCCTCACAAAGCCTACCTGGTAACTGATGATGTCATCGTCAGGCCACGTTAGCTACGTCTCGCACTGGTAGAGATAAAACCATATGGGGTGGTTATAAAGGAATGCTTTCATAGTAATAACCCAACAGTTCACAACCGACTCTGACAGATCTAGTCAGGAGGGTCCAGTGATTTTACTATGTTAGCTAGAAAAATGAAAGGTGTTTTTTTTTTTTTTGGGGGGCTTTTAGAAAAGCTTCTGGCCATATACTTGCTGAGTCACTTTTATTGATCAGCAATCTCCTGGACCTCCTGCAGATGTAATCATGTGAATTTGTGCCAAAGTCTGAACAAGAGAGCTGGTTATAGCTTGATTATTATTATTTTGATTTAAATGTTGGCACTGATGTAAACAGGCCTCCTTAAAGTCTGAAGAGGAAACATGCTTTCGCCAGCGCGTCACACTTGGTGCTCATTTCCTCTTATTTTAATAGCAGCGTTCTGAGAACTGAAATTCTTTACAAGGACAAACTTCTTCTGCAATCATGAGTCTGGTTTGTTCATTTAGGATCACCCGTCACAACAGTTGGGTTTGTGACGATGTGTCTCGTTCTGTGGTAAACTGACTGTCTGATTGGCAGTGCTGTGTTAAATGTTAAGCTTTTAGACTCAGATATTTAGGAAGGAGGAGACAGAGAGAGGGGGGGCGGGGTGGAGGGGAGTGTCTATCTTGCAGATATCAGTTGCCTGGTTACTGGCGATGTTACGGCCTGTAACGGTGGAGCAAAAGAAGGGAAGTATGTAGACAAGACTCCCTTTTTCTTCAATGGGCTGCTGTTTCCACTGAGTCAGCTCAAAGGAAGTGGAGCAAAGGGGAGGGGGCTCTCAGTCTAATAACACACAGCCATGTGGTTTTTTTTTAATAACTCTTAAAATTACTCTTAGATTGAATAGTTTATCCTCATTAGCCTGTGGAGGTTTGGGCTGTCAGATCAAATTTAATCTTAGTTCCGTCAAATTGTCAGAATACAATCAGATGAGACTTTGAACCAAATAGGAAAAAAACAGTAAACTGATCATTTTGCTAGGTTCTATATCTCCTAACTTGTGTTCTGTCTGTGATGTTTGCTGCACTCTGGTTTGCACTCAACTTAGGAGCCAGGATTTTGTAGCTGTTATGGCAACATTGAGACAATGAATAAAACGTCTTTGTTCCTTCGGACTCCACAACTGCCTTTACAACTGGGGAGTTACTTTGGAAAACTGTATTTTTCTAAAATGTTTCGATTTTGGAAATTAGGCAATGTAGAATTAAGTTTGCGTTTTATTTCCTTTTCCTGATCTGCTGCTTTTATGGTGAAATGTTATGCTTGTGTCAGTCTTTTTTACTGCTGACACAATTCAGTCTGAGTAAATCAGAGGTTGGCCAGTGGTGGCCTGCAGATCGGGCTTATCTTTACTGTCTGTAATGTGTTTATTGGGAGTTGTATTGGCCTCATGTCCCCTGTACTGCCATGTTAGGCAGCTAACTTTGTCATGTGATTAACTGTTTAACTGGGGATAAACAAACTCGTTACAATGATTGACCCGGAACATGGACTTCCCCTCAGACCATACTTGTATTTCACAGGGTTACTTGCAGGGACTTTGTGTAACAGGACAGACAGAATAATCCAGAGAATTCTGATATTTTCTGCTGCATTAAAATCTTCGCCATGGTTTCTTAAAAGGCTGGGTCGACCAAAAGTCAGCCAGAGATGCTTCTTCAAATTTCTTTTTCTCTAGTTGGAAAGATTAGCTCTTTCTGTCTGCTGGATATTCATGTCTTCATATGCGCTGAAGAATAGTGCAACCGGCATTTTCTGCTTGGCCGATGTCCATGCCCAACCCTCTCCTTTCCCCCTAAACCGTCTTCCGGACAGCAGATTGTCGGTAGAATGCTTACAGAAGCCACCCAGACCCTCTTCTGGATGTGGTGGGATCAGGATCGGATCAGCTTGCTCAAATCTGTATACAGATCTGTTTGTGTCTGGGTTCAAACTGCCCAAGACTGGACGTAACCAACCAATCAGAGCAGGGTCAGGAAGGACGACTCTTTCCTGACGAGCAGAACTTGACAAATTAAGGGAACACACACTCATTTATTCAAAGCCCGTCAGAGGTCTTGGGATTCATATGAACGTAGCATATTATGTTTACTCTCCCCGACATTAAGTTTGGTCAGATCCAGGGAAAATACCTCCCTCAAATCCATTATAAGATCAGGAGAAATAAGTAAAAAAAAATAACCCACTGAAAATCCTGTCTAACATTAACTGATCTAATGAAGGACTGTTGAATCGGTTGCACGATGCCCCCCCACCCTCCCGATTACAGCCCCAAACTGTTATCTTTCTAACATGGGAATTATTTAAATCTGCAATAAGCGTGCGTCATCCTCATTAAATTCCCTGAGAGCCGGTGAATTTATTTTCAAACACAACATTGCTCCTGACATCGGCGTGACCCAGAAATCCTCGTGACAGGGATCACATGAGATGACCCGACCCGAAGAGTTCAAAGTTCACACTCTAACCGGAGACTGTGTGTGTAGGCGTGGATCTATGATCTCATGGCTGCTTTTCTCTCTGTGTGTAGATGTATAATTTTTTTAGTGATTTGGTGGGTGACAGAGTTCTGAAACATTCTAACAAATGATGCCAAAGGGAGGGTTTCCAGATTCCCATAAGGAGCTGGGAATGACTGCTGCTGTTCCCTGGAAATGTGAAGGTCTGGTCTGCCGCTCTCAGCATGACGTCTTTCGCTGGAAACAAACGACGCTGCAACTCTGAGCCCCGTCCTGTGAAACTCCTCCTCATGTTTTGGGGCGTCTGGTGGAGCACTCTGGTATTTTGGCCTAGGGCGGTATTCTCGCGGTTCGCAGTCTCCCCGAAGTCACTCCACAATTAGCAAAGTCTCGTATTCTGTGGACCCTGCCATCGACCGGCACTCTGTCGCACAGTGTCGGCTTCTGTGGCTCTGCATGGCGGGACAACGATAAGCTCTCTGATCCCAGCTGAATAGAAATAACCATGGGTTATGCACAATGTCTCCCGGTGAGCTTGCGTCGAAATTAACCATAAACAAGGACTCCCCGATTACATCAACCACCCGATGTGAACAAAAAACAGAACAAACTAAAGGTTCAGTTTGTCATTGTACCTTAATGTTAGTGCAATAACACCTGAAAGATCTATGAGTCTGTTACCATATACATATATATTATATAATCTCTGCTATGGCCACAGGTTCGTTTTGTTTTCTCTCCAATTCACACAACGCCTGATTTCTTGGCAAACGTGTCTGATTCTCGTTTCCCTTTTGTGCTGACTCAAGAGGACACCTCAGCCCGTCGGTCCTCGTAAAAAAGGAAACGGAGCTTTTGGCTTGCGCTGCTCCTTTTTCGAGCAGTTTGACAGAGAATGGCGGGCAGCGACGTCTTTGAGGACGTGGACACGTCAAGGTACAAGCTGGTTTGAGGCCGTCCAGTTCAAAGGAGGATGGAAGTGATTAAATATATAGGGCATATAACTGCATCCACCTCTGATCACTTAGATTAAATCCTTCTTATCATCTTATTGAGTCACCATACATAATTCGGATGGGCTCTGGAAAGGTGTGTGTTGACAAAGCAGCACCAGGAAACTGATTCTGAATTATGCTCTGGATTTGGCTTTTAATGTTTTGTATGTCAAGGCCAAATCAGGCAGGTGTTGTTCCGTTACGAGGACACACCTCATCAGTTGTGTTCTTTGAGACATTTTGGTTCCATCTAACGGCTTTAACACCTTTTACCCTTAAAGTAGAGGAGTGGCTATTCTCCATTGTACGGTCCATCTATTCAGTAGCGCAGTAGTATTTGCTTTAGATATGCTGGGTTTAGCTTCTATTTTTTTTTCTTTCCCTTTTTTTGTGTGTGTGTGCGTGTGATATTCTGATTGCAAGTTCTGCCGAGGTCACGCTGAGGTAAACTTTTCACTGCGTGTTTCAGTTCACCTTTAACTCCAGAACTGTTAATCATTAGATGTTGGCTTTTATCGCTTTATCCACCAACTTTTCACTATAGCTGTAGTGATTTTTCTTTTTTTGAATATTTGTGTTGGAACAAAGCTTTTCACATTTCCCCTTTTTTTTTTCGTTTTCACACACACACACACAAGCATGTTTCTATCAAAACTCTTTCATTCCCAAAATACACTCAATAGAAAGCAAATTCAAAGCTCTGTTTACAACACAAGCTTTCTTCCGGTTGGCTATCTGGGTCCTGCAGGGCTCACAAGGTGACAGACCTTCTAAACACCTGTGATCTCATATTTACGCAATGACTTACCTCAGCTAAAGCGCATTAACGCTCAGGAGCTATTAAAAAAAAAAAAAGAAAAAGCCAAGAGCAGCTCAGCAAATCATCATTTACTTCCTAGACAGATTAGCCAATGGTTGCTCACTTCCAGAGAGCTCCGGCTAATGAGGCAGAGCACTTCCTCGAGGAGTTCAGAGGAGGGAAGAGACTCTGAGTTTGAGTTTTTTTCCTCTGGTCGTGGATGCTGAGCACTTTGCGACCTGCTAGCGAGACATGGGCTGGGAATTCTGGAGAAAGCAGACGGACGAGGAGGAATTGGTGGAGAGCGGTGAGTTTACAGATGTTTTTGTTTGTTGTGGTGCGAGAGTCTGCCGCCAGCCCCCGTCAGACTGCATTCAGAGCTCAGACCAGAGCAACAAGTTGTGCCTCTTGAGCAGGCTCCCGAGGTCGCTCGGTCTGCCCGTCTTGTTTGCTTATACGGGTTTAAATTGTGGGGCTCTCTGTAGTTTTTGCCGATGCCTTTGACTTAACCATAGCAGAGATTAATCATTAAGGCCATTTATGACCCGTCAGCCACTGAGTCACGTGGTTGTTGTTTATGAGCTGCTTTGCACAACTGAAATGGACCTTGTTGTTATATGTGTGTGAGTAAGCTGCTGTGTTTTAGTGGAAACATAATCTAACCACCATAATCTTATTACGTTGTTCATATCCCGTCATTTAAAGCCTGTGAGGTTAGGGATGCTTTTGTCTTCTTTTTCAGCAATTCTAAAGAAACGTGTCCTTGTTTTTGTTTCTTTTGTCCCTTGTCCTGCATGTAAGGCTGAAAACTCAGCTGCTGTTTTACAAAGTGGTTCACGCAAGCTGCTGACTATGTCCTCAGCTTAACTTCACCCATACGGGAGCGTCCCACTAGGGATCGCTCTGCTGTCAGATTTACAGGACATAAGAAAACATGGAATATATTTTGTTTTTTGAATATCACAAGTGACAAAAGAAGGGTGGCATCGTAGATGGAAGGTTTGTAATCACGCAGTTAATGGCAAAATATTGTACGTTTTAGAAAAGTTCTGTGTCCTGAATCTTTGAAAGCTTAAAAATAGTCAAAAAGTAGCATGGGGTTTTTGTATTTTGTCAGAGCTGAGTCTGAGTCTGTGTTTGAACTTTCTTGAATCGGGTCTGAAGGGGAGTGGAAGTTGGGCTTGTGAAGGGTAATTTTTCTTTTGTGTAGAACAGGATGCAATCTTTTCAGACCAGTATCCAGAGAATTTTTCCTCTGTTTGTTAAGTGAGTTAGAGTTAAAATATTTAAAGATAAGTTGGTCTGATCAGCAGTATGAAAAGGAATGGTTCAAATCCCGCCTCTCACTCCACTTGGCTGAAAGCCCTTCCAGACGGTCGCTCTGCTCTAATAAAACCTTTTTACCCCATTCCAGTTGTCCCAGGTTAGTTACTGGCCTATGATCAACCCCCTGCCCCGTTTCCTGTGAAGCTACTGTCAAATAAAGATCACAGCCAATGAAAGGTTTGTGTTATAAAGTCCTGGCATAAGAAAGAGGTCCTGGCACAATCTGGTGTCGAGCTGTGATGCCAACCTTCCAGTAATGGCTTTATTACCAAATCCAGCCTCCTGCCATATGGACAGCAATATGTTACATAAGCAGAGACGGTTTTGATTTAAAGCTGTCTGGGAGCTATTCGGGTCGAATACCTGTCAGGCTTTCTTTTGTCCATTCTCTCTCAAACCAGTCTAACCTGTCAGATCAGGTGAAAGTTGAAATGCCTGTCGTGTTTTACTGCCTGGCAACATTCGGGCTGGAAAAAGGGTTAAAATTTTGGGATGGGAGTGTAACACATGCTTCAGAGGTTTATGTCAGAAACCATGAAGGATTCAAACATTGGAGTGGTTTTGTTCTGTTTTTTTCCACTCTGAAATGTTCTCTGCATATGCTCCAAATCAATTTTATTTTGATATATATATTTATATATATGTTTATAAAAGAATAAAGCCCACTTGGTAGACCCTCATTAACCTTTCCAACCTCTTTTAACTCCTCTATTCAAACAGGCAACAGCCCCCACCTCAACCTACATTCACAATTAACATTGTTACTTCCATTAATACTAAAAAGAAAATATTTAATTTTACCACGGATTGTTCTTCCAGTGCCATGATTACACGTATGGACAAAGCCTCCCTCCCTGTGTCGTTTCCTGCTTTGATCTTTGCCAGTTTTTGATTGGCTGCTGGTGATTGGTGACTATAGCTCGGGCTGTTTTGTTGCAGACCGCTTGAGAGAAAGGAGCTCAAATTGTTCTCAGCTTTGTGTGCCACAGAATCCGGTCATGAATCGCACTATCATTGTTACAGCAGCAGATTACAACACTGCTATTTGCTCTTTTGCAGTGTGTGTGTGCTCCATACGGTCTCCATGTCTGTTTGGAAAAAACAGACTATTTGTTTAGAGGAAGAGCTCAAATAAAAGATGAATTAAGGAGGAACAAAAGGAACTTGAGATGTTAAGCAAATTTTGACAAAATACAGAGGTAAATGTATTAATTTAGGGGATAAAAACTGACAGTCTTTGAATCCAGGCTTTTCTATTGAGTATTTTAGATTTAATCTTCAGCAAGTTTTCTACATGCAAGTTCTGCTATTTAAATTTAAATCTAATTTATTTTTTATTGTACTTTTAATATAATTTTTTTTTTTTACGCCAAAAAAGAAATATGGTCATAACAGTCTACATTATTAGGGAAAAACTAAAACTAAAATGAATAAAACTGCTAAAGTTTACAAACTAATAGAAAACTGGAGTCTGGCAGAGATAGAAAGACTGAAATCTTCAGAGGTCACCATTAAGTGTTTTGGCGTTTTTGTTGCTTGGTAACCACAGAGAGGGATGATAATGATGTCTCACGGTGCATTGGAAGGTAACGAAGCTAAACTCTCCGTAGAGAGCTTTAATGGAAACCCAAAGCTAGCAGAGGCAAGATGTCCAGAGTGACACCATCTGTTGTTATTGAGCAGTTCCATGCCTCCTCCCTCACTCCTGACACACTTGAAAATCTCAATATTGTCTCAATATTTCTCCTCCATCCATGTCAGCGCTCAAAACTCGTCCAATTGACTAGCAATAAATCTCACATTCCCCAAGAAGATCAAAGGCTGAAATGTTTTAGACTGACTCAAAATGGTTTTGTTATTTTAAAAAAAATGTTTGGAGGCATCTGGAGCCAGCATCTGGTCTGAAATGTGTGATTGATACTCTTTCTTTTGGATTTTCCTGACATTTGGATAAAGTCCTCTGTTTGTAGACAAGTTTCCACTTTGAGAAATCTGGACTGAATCTTCTGATTGAACGCAGACGTGTTGAAAACCTTGCGCCAGACGTGGTCCCCTTGCACCCTCAGGATCGTCAGGACGAAGCAGCAAGTTTGGCGTCGCTTGTCAGGATTAAAGAGAAAAGTGAAGTTTAATGAAATATCCAAGCATGTAGTTGGTCTTGTGGAAACCAAGTGAGCTCAGAAATTTGCCCCCGGCCAGAATCAGAGCAGATGCTGGTGTTTCTGGCACATGTGCCTTGATGGTGTCTGTCTTTCATTAGCTCATCTAAACAAATGTAGTGTGTGTGTGGGGGTGGAAAACTGTGAGATCTTATGCATCACTGTGTGTGTTTGGAGTTAATGGAGGAAGTCTGCTCAGAAATGCTCTAAAATGCTGAAACCAACATGGAGCAAGAACAATGCAGTGGAAAAGCTGTAATGTAACACTTTTTTTTTTAACCCCTCCTCCTCCTCCCTCCTTCTCTCCATCTCAGGAAGCTATGAGGAGAGCAGCAGCAGGGCGGCCGGCATGAACGGCGCCGGCCCCAGTAAGCTCATGGACCCTCTTGAGGACCCGCTGCCAGGAGTGGGCACCTATGAAGACTTCAACACTATCGACTGGGTCAGAGAAAAGAGCAAGGACCGGGACAGGCACAGAGAGGTACAGGAGAAAGGAGTCTGTGCTTCTTTGTTCTTTGTAAATTAAAGTGGTGAGGTGGAAAGTCTCACATAGGACAGAACGGTTTGACTCCATGTCCTCCACTTGTGTCTCTGATTTGTCTTCTTTGGAGGACATTTAGGGCTTGCTCTAAACTCTAAAACTTGTTAAATTCCACTGAAGGTTCTCCCTCTGTTACCACAACATAAAATCAACCAAGGACTTTGACACAAAGCCATAACAGAAGGATTGTTGTCATCTTTCACTCCCTCAGATCACAAAAAAGAGCAGGCAGTCGACGGTAGCCCTGCTCCACAGTGTCAGTGATGCCTTCTCCGGGTGGCTGCTCATGCTGCTGGTTGGACTCATGTCAGGTAGCTTACAAACACACACACACACACAGACACACACACACAAACACACACACGCATACATTCATACGTTGCAGGATTTTAGTCGAACTTGATTTTTGTTACATACCACAGCAGAAAAATTATTACCCAAATCAAATTGATTTTTTGTTTGCTCAAAAGGGGGCAGCTCCGAGTTGTTAAAGCTTTTTTGTAATCTGAATGGTACAGCTGTTTATCAGGAACACGCAGCACAGCGCCCCTGTGGAATTTTCCCCGTTCCACCTCAGATTTCAGGGGCTGTCTGCCAGTCTCTGGGACCACACACAGATGCACCTGAGTGCGCTGTAGCTGCTGCTGCAGACTGCTAATTCACATCTGCTGACAGACAGCAGGTGCCCAGCTACTAAACGGCCCCGAGTCTAGCACTGAAAATAGCCAGGGTGACGCATTTTGTGAAGAAAGTGAATAGCAATCGCGCAAACCGACAACCTGACAGGTTCTTCTGCTTTAGCTCACAATGCCATCTGAAAACCTACCTCTTCGTATGCCTTATCTTTCAGTTTTTCTCTGTAAAATGTCAAATTGAAGCACCTTCGGCTTTTGCTTAGGCCTTTCCCTGTACATTTCTCCTCCAGCTAATAGAAGAAAAGCTCAGTTCTTTTTAAATCAGGTGATGAACTCATTCGTTCCTGGAACTTTAAAGATTTTTATAGCTCTTAGTCGGGATTTGTGAGATAATTTCCTTGTTGGAGATGAATCGCTGTCCCAATAGTTGGTAGAGTTTCGCTATAACTTGAGGAGATCCAATGTTTCTTACCATCTCTAAACTTCTTGTGCTTCTCCATAATACATGCCCAAACCATTATTCCCCCTCCATTGTGTTTAACCGATGAGTAGCCATGCCTGAAATCTTCAATTCCTTTCCATATCCTCTGTCTTCTCGACATCATCCAGATTAAAGTATGTCCTGGTGTTGTTTTCCACAACACCTTCTGCTAGAATTCTGAGCCTCCTTTAAGTTTGTTTTGGAAAATGTGAGCTGGCTGCCCTTTTTTTTTTTGTGGTTACAATGCAGATGCTTTTCTGTTGACTCTGACAGGCTTACCTCCTAAAAACTGGTTTTGACTTTTAGCCTTTGGCCTTTTAGTGTTTGTCTTAACCATAGTGAGCATTCTTCCACCATCAGCAGGGATCCCTTTCTTGGTTTCCAGAGCTACCAGGAGAATTCTTTCCTCTTATCTCCAGACAGCAGAATTTGGTCATCCTAATATTTTACCTGTCTGCAATGCGTTTTATGGTTGGTTTTCAGCCTCATAACAGCTTCCATTAATTTTTGTAGGCACAGTTTCTTTCCGAAGGCCAAACATTTAAGAGGGCTAGCGACAAAAAGCACTTGTGGGCACAGGGGAGCTGAAATGACAGATGAACTGGATGAACTCCTCCTCTCCCCCTCCAGGTGCTCTGGCCGGCGGCATCGACATCGCAGCTCACTGGCTGACAGACCTGAAAGGCGGGGTGTGCCTCATAGGGTTCTGGTTTAACCACGAGCACTGCTGCTGGACGTCCAACGAGACCACGTTCCAGGAGAGGGACCGCTGTCCTCAGTGGCAGAGCTGGGCGGAGCTCATAACGGGGACGTCAGAGGTAAGAGGGAGCTCAGAAAACACACAAGCTCCGTCACAGCCCCGAATAAACGCAAATGTTTTATCAATTTGGGCAACACGATTCCAAACGTGAGCGTTTGTTGTCACAGTGCATCGATGCCACCTGCTGGCTGCCTTTGGTCATTAAAAATAACCCCAACTACAGCAGAAAGTAAAATAAAAACCAAAGTAAAAACCAAGTAATCGGTTTTACAATGTTTTTTACCAAGATCACATCATTATTTCCTCTGTGTGTGTGTGTGTGTTCCCTGCAGGGCCCGTTCGCTTACATCATGAACTACCTGATGTACATAGTCTGGGCTCTGCTCTTCGCGCTGCTGGCCGTCACGCTGGTCAGAGCCTTCGCTCCGTACGCCTGCGGCTCAGGAATCCCAGAGGTGAGGCCGAGCATCAGACGCAAAACAGGGCAAAGCGGGCCCTTTTAAGCACATTAGCAGAACATTCAAAGTGCCAGTGTTTACGTCCATGTTCAGTTTGTGTCATCCATCATTAAAGAAGGCACAAACATCAGCCCTCTCATTCTCAAACTCACTTTGTCATCTATCAGAGGTCCTCCAAACCCAGCTCTCCTCTCCCCTCCAATCAAACAGCCTCTGTTTTCTGTCTCCTGCCTGTTCCAGATTAAAACCATCCTAAGTGGGTTCATCATCCGAGGCTACCTGGGGAAGTGGACCCTCATCATCAAGACCATCACCCTGGTTCTAGCCGTGTCCTCTGGACTCAGCCTGGGGAAGGAGGGCCCGCTGGTCCACGTGGCCTGCTGCTGCGCCAACATCCTCTGCCACCTGTTCACCAAGTATCGCAAGAACGAGGCCAAGCGGCGAGAGGTGAGCTCTGATTTTTATAGCTGGTTCAGTTTTTTAAGAGATCAGACGGTTACACCACCCCCAGGAGATTAAGATGATTTGTACGTGGTGGTAAAACCCTAGCAGATCAAACGGATGGGCAGAGAGCACCAGGCAATTTTTCTGTTACAGCTTCTGCAGAAATTTCACCAGATCACCGTGACGTGCACGCTACTGCTACTCTAGCTCTTGTTATTACCGGGAACTGGATGACTGTGAATGTACACCAAAGATGAACAATAATTACAAATGTCACTAGTTTGCTTTTGCTCATATGCTTTTAAAGCATTAATTCTATTCCCGATGTCTTTTTGGGCTACCCTCTCCTTTCATTCCAGCACATTTTACATGGAAATGTTGGACTTTAATGCTTATGGTTGTAAATACTGCGAGTCATTACACTATGAAAACAGGTCATAATTCATAAAACCAGCAAATCCAGCAAGATGTGTCAATTAACACACACACAAAAAATTGGAATGTAAAAGAAAGAAGAACACAACAGATATTTTCTGTTTCTGATAAACCTCATCCATTCAGTTTGTATCTACATTCACGCTGCATTGTCAACTTTTTTTCTTCCATAATGAAGTTTGAATTGATCCTCAACACTATATTATTCGTTCCACCTCGCAGGTTTTATCAGCGGCGGCGGCGGTGGGCGTGTCGGTGGCTTTCGGCGCTCCCATCGGAGGAGTCCTGTTCAGTCTGGAGGAGGTGGGGTCCGATGCCACTATCGGTTTACTATGAAGCCAATCATTCCCTGGAACTTAGCCACTAAATCTGCCCACCTAAGTTTTTTTGTTTTGTTTTTTAGTAATGGCCATACCTCAGACAGCGTCGTTAGGACGTGGACAGACAAAGCACCCGGAGTAGAAAGAGATGCCTTCAAAATTAGGCCTGCAGCTGAGCTCAGATTTTTCAATCCTGTCATGAGTAAAAGCCGTATTATCGAACCACCATCCAACGCAGTCGGACCGAATTGTTTTCTGAGTGTCTCAGGCTTCGTTCTGTTTGTCTTGAACATGTGAATTTGTTCTGGAATGAGCCGCCTGCTGGCAACAAACTGGATTATGATAACCTGGGGAAAAGCTTGGGAATTAGATACGCCTTGGCGGCTCTGGATGTTTTCAACAAAAGTCTCCAAAGTGAAAGAAGAGCTCGGATTTATTTGCTGCTTTATCAGAAAATATGAAGGAAAACATTCCTGTGCTTTCTGTCTGAGCTTCTGGAACAGGATAGAGAAGAAGAATCCTTTATTAGCAGGAAGAGTCGTTTCAGTTTTGTCTTTTAACTAATTTCTCTGCCTCCTTTTCCCAGGTGAGTTACTACTTCCCCCTGAAGACGCTGTGGCGCTCCTTCTTTGCGGCGCTGGTGGCGGCCTTCACGCTGCGCTCCATCAACCCGTTCGGAAACAGCCGCCTGGTGCTGTTCTACGTGGAGTTTCACGCCCCGTGGCACCTGGTGGAGCTGGCCCCGTTCATCCTGCTGGGGATCTTCGGAGGCCTCTGGGGGGCGCTGTTCATAAAGGCCAACATTGCCTGGTGCCGGATCCGTGAGTGCCAACGTCACAGCTCAGCCTTTTTGCTTTATCCGTTTTCTTTTTCTGTGTCAGCCGATCGGTTTTCTCTGCGCGCCTCGACAGGGAAGTCCACTCGCTTGGGCCACTACCCCGTCATCGAGGTGCTGGTGGTGGCAGCGGTGACCGCCCTGATCGCCTACCCAAACAGCTACACCCGCATGAGCGGAGCGGAGCTCATCTCGGAGCTCTTCAACGACTGCTCGCTGCTGGACTCCTCGCAGCTCTGCGGCTACAAGCAGGTCAGAGGGCCACGTAATGGAGACAATTCCCAAGATATGTGTGCATGCGTCGTCTTTTTCTTTGACTCAGGACAACCATTCCACCACCCAGCGACTGTTTATGTAAACCCTGAATCCGCCTAGGTACAGAGCCCATTAGATGACGAGTGTTAAGTAAATATAGGATAACAAGGGGAAAAAAGTTGAATGTCCCAGCTTTAGACCAGCACCTAAATGCACCACACGTAGATACTTTGTCAGGGGCCTGACTTTGTGAGCTGATGCATTCACACGTATTGAAGGAACCTCGCATCCGTGAGGCTGTTGTGATCCGTAAAGCGGACGTCCTCCTCATATTGAAACGCCTCGTTTCATTCTTTCTCCCAGCCAGTCAACGTGTCCGAGACGGGAGCAGGAAACAGCCTGGCTGATCGACCGGCCGGAGAAGGCCTCTACACAGCCCTGTGGCAGCTGGCGCTGGCCCTCATCTTCAAGATGATGATCACCGTCATTACCTTCGGCATGAAGGTGGGTACTCTGTCTCCACCACTCTGCCTCTGCAATCGCTTTTAATAAAGCCCGATGTCGGCTTTGGGGGTTGTTACCATGCGTGGCGAAGTCCTGCAGAGACAGCTGTCTCCAATATCTGTCCTGCCTTCTTTCAGAGCACACGTTTTTCTCTTCAGATGAAGGGAAAACGCCTGGTGCTGTAACATGTAACTCACTGGAAATTCAAGCTGTCCATGCGAGAGGCTCCTCTTCTTTAGAGTTTGTTTTACAGTGTTTTTGTTCCAAGACCCTGACAAAATGTTCTGTGCCCCCCCCCCAGGTCCCTTCCGGCCTCTTCATCCCCAGCATGGCGGTCGGAGCCATCGCCGGCAGATTGCTGGGCGTCGGCATGGAGCAGCTGGCCTACTACAACCACGACTGGCTCATTTTTAAAGGGTGGTGCACCCCGGGAGCTGACTGCATCACCCCGGGGCTTTACGCCATGGTCGGAGCCGCTGCCTGTTTAGGTGAGGCCACGCGCTGGGAAAAGCGACCTCCGTAGGGGCGTTGTCTCGGAAACAGGCCCCGAACAGATGATGTTCAGCAGGCAGCTGCTCGGGCATTGCTTGGGGATGAATCAGTGCGCTGGTATTCTGAACTCGTGCAGCTTCGGGACATGCCGGAGGGATTAAGATGACATGTTTGGGGTGTCTTGGAAAAGGACTTCTGGTGGGGGTGGGGGGGGTTTGCAGAGTGCAGCTGGATGTGGGTGGAGGAAGAATGCCTCATTTATTGTTAAATCCTTTTCCAGGCCAAAATACAGGATGATAAAGAGACCAGCGGAGGATTATTTCTCTCATTTGCTTTACTCTCAATCTTTCCCCAAATCTTTTTATTTTATTTTTATTTTATTTTAACTTCTGTAAAAAAAAATGTACTAAAGCAATAGAAGCCTTATTTGAAACTCTAAAGAGAAAGACAGGTAGTCCAATTTTCTTTTATTGAAGCACTTTGTCTTGATAATTGGCAAACTAATTAGATTGAGGCAAAATAAAACGCCAAAAAGTGTTAAAAGTTGGTTATTGAGCCCAGTAATGCTACAGGCCAACACAAACAGGGCTTCCCTGTGTTGTTTCCTCTTTCCGACTGTTCACCGTCAAACGTTCAAGTCGCTTGATAAAGGAGCAGGAATGATGAAACGGAGCTGGCTTTTCACGCCGGTTTCCCTTCTTCTGAGCCAAAGCAAACGCAGTGCCGAGGACATATTGCTGGAAGCTTTCAACGTAAATTCGGCCCATGCGGATCACAAACCGCATTCATCCGTCTCATCCATCTGGGACAAAGTTTAAACTGTTAATGAAATGTTTGGGGCTTTTTCCTCCCAGCGTGGTTACCTTATGTAATTGACCATATTCTCTCACAATTGACGGGTGACGCAAACCAAACCGAACTTCTCTAATCGTTTCACAGTGCTTTATGATAGAATTATGGGTAGAAAATAAGAAAAAGGGATCTTTGACTGCCTGTAAAAGGAGCCCCTTGGTGATACCTGCTCATTGGTGGCTTTCAGTCTCCACACCTTTTTTCACCATTTAGTTTGTTTTGTTTGTATCTTTATGCTTTTAGATGTGTTCCTATGTAGGTCTCTTTTGTTAAACCCTTTTTCCGTATATTCTTTTCCATATTTCTCTCCTGTGAGCTGCCTGATACGGCTGGATTTCCCCTTTTAACATGGAAATCAGAAGAGTTAATCTAATCTACTTTAAACGGATTCTTTTTAATGTGATTTAATCAGCAGAAGCCGTAGATGAATGTAAATGTGGGAACTGTAGTAAAAACGTGTCTGAACAGGACTAGTCCTGCTTGTTTTTGGTCTATATATTGTTGACATCCCAAAAGCAAAGAGCAGCCCTCAGAGCCCCTAATCATCTGTTTTGCATTTCTGACAACTAAAGGGAATGTTTTCCTCCTCTTTTTTTTTTTTTTTCTTTTTCTTTGTGTAAATGGATACGCAACTCTCGCAATGAATCTCTCCCACATCCCGCTGCCTCACAGCCATTTGTTTAGAGGAGAGAACTGAGCCTCGGTTTCTGGCCAAGGCCAGGCAAGACGATCGTAATTGGATTCAGACCGAAACCGCCGAGTTCGCTTAAACTAGCTTTCAAAATTTCCAGAGCACTGCTGTTTGTCTGCCCGGCGCTCCGGGTTCTCTGACCCGTCCCCCTCGTCTCCTCTCAGGCGGCGTGACGCGCATGACGGTGTCCCTGGTGGTCATCATGTTCGAGCTGACCGGCGGCCTGGAGTACATCGTCCCCCTGATGGCCGCCACCATGACCAGCAAATGGGTGGCAGACGCCTTTGGGAGGGAGGGAATTTACGAGGTGAGTCAAGTTTCCCGGCGGGAAAAAAAGCAGAAGCCCCGACGGTCTGAGCCGAGGCCGGACGCTCAGACGCCCATGTTGCTTCCTCCACAGGCTCACATCCGGCTGAACGGGTACCCGTTCCTGGAGCCCAAAGAGGAGTTTGACCACAGCAGCCTGGCCGTGGACGTGATGAGGCCCAGGCGGGGAGACCCGGCCCTGGCCGTGCTCACCCAGGACGGCATGACGGTTGGCGAGGTGGAGGTGCGGGCGCAGCAGGAAAACTAAACTGGCTTTCCCGGCCCGACACCCGGAGCTCGTAGTAATTGTTTGTCTCCCCTTCAGACTGTGGTGGAAAGCACCCACTACAGCGGCTTCCCTGTGGTCGTCTCTCAGGAGTCCCAGAGACTGGTGGGATTCGTGCTGAGAAGAGACCTGCTCATATCAATAGGTCAGAGCTGCCTTCAAGTGGCACCTTTTGCTTATGTGTCGACATCCTTTTATTGTTTTTCTCCAAATGTGCCGCTTTGTGTGACAGATCTGCATCGTCTAAGAAGCTAAAATGTGGGACTTAACACTCTCTAAGACTAAAATATACTGTATAGTTCCTGGGTGGGGCAGAATAATACAGTAGGATTTGTTTTCAGACAATGCCCGGAAGCGTCAGGAAGGCATCGTCAGCGCGTCCCAGGTGGTCTTCACCGAGCACACGCCCCCCCAGCCCCCCGAGGGCCCGCCCCCCCTCCGCTTGCGAGGCATCATGGACCTGAGCCCCTTCACCGTCACCGACCACACCCCCATGGACATCACCGTGGACATATTCAGAAAGCTGGGCCTGCGCCAGTGTCTGGTTACACATAACGGGTGAGAACGGCCTTCCGACTTTTAAAAAGGCAGACGGCATCTGGTTTGGGAGGCGTTTCCATGTAACCCCTTCAAACGTAGCGAAGAGAGACTGGGCAATCCTGCAAGTGGTTACAAATAGAATAACTCGGCAAACACAGAAGTTTTAGTTCTTTTGTTCCCACAGGGCTCAGTCCTCAGGCCTTTTCTTCCCTTCTTTAGCCCTAAACCTTTTTCCTGCTTTTTATTGTTCGTGTAACCACAACGGTTCCTGCAGGAGAAGGTGTTACCGGAGGGGAGGGCACGATGGAAGGGATTCTTTGTTTAGGGATTTGGACCAAAGTGGAAGCTTAAGGCAAACTAGAGGCGCATACAGGGGGGAGGTGGATGAGCTCAGGATGAGAAGGCTAACTTTAGAAAGAAAAAAGAATCGGATGCAGGAGCATTGTTGGGAGCTAATTAAAGAGACTTTTAAGGTGCCCGAGCCTCTCAAGTACAAATTTCTCCCCTTTTACTTGAATCCCTGCAATTTTCCATCTGGGTTCTTTGATCCCCATTTCAAACTCCTGTTCTTAATCTTCACAACCAAACATCTGCCCGGCCTAAGCACAGTGGATCCCAGTGTAGAGATAAAAATCTAAAACATATACATTTCTGGGCCTCGGGCTGAGAGGAATTTCGCTCTCTAATATCGAGATTTACACAGTTGGATCCCAATTTCTTCCTTTCTTCTCGCGTGCAGTGCGGTGCAGGGCCCGGGCACAAATCTGGTCTGAAGCAATCTTTCCCTAACTCTTCTTCTTCTCCCGTCTCTTTGTCATCAGGAGGCTGCTGGGAATCATCACTAAAAAGGACATCCTCAAGCACATGGCGCAGATATCCAACAGAGACCCCGACTCCATCCTCTTCAACTGAACTCCAGTCACCCCCGGTGTTCCGCATCTCTTCCAGGGGCCGAAGAAGACGCCGACTCGCACACTCCAAACCACACGTTTCACCTCTCAGGTTCCTCCGAACGGCCAGAGTCAGGGCCTCATTGGGCGATGTGGCCAGTGGATTATTTGGGGTGTCCAATCAGAGACGAGGACTCGACCCCGCAGTCACATTTTGACCCCAGAACTGGGAGGAGGGGGTGGGCAGAACTAAGCCGATGGAATATTTCACATCTGCTTCTTCTTGGCGTTTTTTTCTGCTGTTTTATTTTTTCTTTTTTTTTTTTCCAAAGGAGGCTTAGATCAGAGCAGAGATTCTCGCCTCCCTTCCCACTTCCCATCTTCCCCCCTCCGCTGCACCTGAGACTAAAGGCTAATCCTCTGTGACAGACGCTGAGAAGAGGAGACCAGGTGAGGGGAGAGGGAAATGAAGACGAGGAGACAAAGGGGCTGTTTGTGCGGCTCCGTCCGTGCCCTCCGGCCGCCGCGGCGACGAGCTCAGGCAAGAGCACCCAGACGCTCTCACACCTTCCTCCTCCCACGGACACTCGCACTCCTCCATCAGGGCTTTCGCTCGACAGCCTGAGAACCGCACAGAAATGCCTCATCCTCTTCTAAACGCTCGAGATTGTGATAGCCTGGGAACTATGCGCTGTTGTCCTGCCAGGGACTTTGATTGACAGCAGCTCTGAAACACAAAAAAAAAGAGAAATCACACACAAGCAGCCATTTCTGGAATGGTTGGAGTGTTTGGGCTGTTGTAAGGGAGGGGGGGGGGCAGCAGGAGAAGAATCATGACATGTTAGATAATTTATGTAATCGTGAAGTTGTTTGTCCTACTAAATTATTTCATCGACTTAAAACCGTGTCTCTTTTCCTTCTTGTTTTGGAAAAAAAAAACAACTGTTGATGTCATTTTCCGAATCGGATTTGAAACTCGGTTAAAGCTTGGAATCATATTTTTTAAACAGAAAAACATGAAGATGAAAGCTTAGTTTCCCACGGTCCATACGCGTGACTGGGGAGCTGACCAGGAAGTCCCCCCCCCCCTCCCGTGACGAGTGGGGATACGGTGTCTTGCTCGTGTTTTCTCAGACTTTATATCAGCAACCGTTTTTCTTATTTTTTATATATATATTCCCCACCGATCTTCTCCCTGCGAGCGGGCAAATATTATTCTGGAATATTTTTAACTCTTAAAAGTTCCAGTGGGTCCGTTTTGTCTGGACTCGTTGTGCCGACCTGAACTGTTTGGTCGCCCCGGGACTCATAAAGTTCCTCCTGGCCCCCGAGTGTTTGATTTATCCAAGGGGTTGATTTTTTTGTTTTGCTTTTGGTTTCGGTGCTGCCCAAATCGTCCAGGCTAAACAGTCAGGGCACGGCGATGTTATTAATTAGGAATTTTTTTGTTTTTCTTGTTGTCTTTAAACCCCTCCATCTTCCCCCCCCAGATGTGGAGGAAAGTGGTCGAGGAGAGGGTTCCTGCGTCCTGGGAACCATCTGCTCCTGTCACTCCCTCGTCATAAACCCGTGTTCACATTAAAAGTAAACCCTTTTAAAACTGCTGTGATTGATTTAAAAGGCTGCCAGTTTTTCAGGCAGGTTCAAACTCCCCAAAACCCACCACCCATCCCCAGCCCCCTGCCGTCCTTTGCGCAGGCGCGTTGATGTCTCGTCTTCATCAGTTCGTCTGTCTCCAGCTGCTTTGTGAGACAACAAAAAAAAAAAAAAAAAACCACAGCAGGAATTGGTCTCGGTTCTTCGGCTGATTTATGCCTCTCCGTCACTGCCAAAGCAGCGATGCTCTCCGCCTCGTGCTCATTCGATTCAGATAATGGGCCCGATGGTCTCTGGTGGGGAAATTCCATTTGCTCCGGGTAAATGAATAGGTGATCGCAGAATGGAAAGGCTCATCTGAGGAGCATTAAATCATCGGGGGGATCTCTCAGAATAAATACACACTTCGGGCAGTAGATGTTTCTCTTAAGATGCTCAAAATGGTCCAGCAAGAGGCCCGACGTCAGACCGTTTTATTTGTTTTTTTCCCCTCTCCCTCTGGGAGAATTACACATACATTTTATTTTGTCATATAACCTTCTCACAGTACTGACCAAAACTTTATCAGGTTTTTAAAAAAAAAAGTGTTGACAGGGCTAAAAAAAAAAGAATATTTGATATATGGATGGGTTAACTGTGACGGTAGGACAAGATTTTAGAAATTGCATTAGTTAGAGACTTTGTAATTAATCCCAATCCCGTTTTTCTTTAAAGAAAAAAAAAGTTTCGTTTGGCAATTAAAATGTCAATTCGTTTTTCTGTTTAGTTTAAATACACTTTACTGTATGTAAAAGTTTTTTTTCCCATTAATTTACTCTAATATACTTTCAAATATCTAACATTCAGTTGTAGCATACTGCATTTTAAAGTTGTGTGGTAAACGTTTAAATGAAGAAAAATGGTGGTTTATTGGTTAAAACCTTAACAAATGAATATAGGATGGGGAATACAATATCTAATGTTCAATTTAGAAACTTTTTAAACATTTTCAAGTGTAGGATCATTTACGTAAGGAGCACAGGAGCTATCGGCTAGAATTGGCGGGATGACGTCATCACCTCATTTGCATATTTGATCATCTAGTAATCAGCTCTCACCTGTGGGGAAAAAGGAAGTTCAACGTTGGCGGGGCAAAAAGTAAGTACACATATCACACGAAATATGTTTAGAACTACGAATGAGCTTCATTGAAGACTTTCAGAAATTTCGTAATTTAGCTGAAGCCACACTACATGACGTACATGTTTCAATATCAAATTTAACCTTAAGACAATTGTGTGTTGTGCTTTCAACCAACCATGAATTCGGGTGTTTCATTACCAGCCCTGTCTTTATCTGTACAATTTATTAGTGTTGGGCCTACACGGTAAGCTAGCAGCTAGCTATGTCGAGGTCTTTTACATTCACATTGCAGCCTCACGTGACCCAAGTCAGTTTTATTTTTGTGAAATCGTTTTTTTTTATTTTTTTATTTTTTTTGTTAAATGTATTTCATTTCTATTGTCTGTGTGCTCGTTCAAATGTCCAAGTGTATGCAACGCTCGTGTCAAATCCAGTGCGAACTGCAAGTGAACGTCAAAGTGTCCCGCATGCGCAGTGGAGGATAATGTTTTCAGTCATAAGCAGACAAATAAACTTTAGATGCGTTACCGCCACCTGTTGGACTGGAGAGCATCCAGAAATGACAGACTTAAGAAAAGTGCATTTAAAGGGGCTTTTCCTTGAGTTAATTGCTCTTGTTAAACAACATACTGGTGAAATCACTCTGATATCCATTTACTTTTAAAAGAGCATGCCTTTGAGAACTTCAGCTCACATGACCCTACCTTGAGCAAATTTGGACCACTTTGGGCTCATCCGTCTGTGCCCATGACATCACCCATTGTCAAGTAGAGTCCCCTTTTCTGGAGTTCATTCTATGGGCATGACATTGGCATGATCACTTGACCTATAAAGAGTCAAACAGTTAAAATCCTTAAGTCAATTGTGTGATGTTACTTAATCGCCTGCTGAAACACAGTTTTGCTAAAGTAGCTTTTGTAGGAGCTACAATGCAGCTTATTGATATCAGATGACCGGTGCGTTGGCAATACTCTGGAATGTTTGACAGAGGATAGTTTGACAGATGATGACAGACGCTGTCGTTTGAGCATTCGGCATCCACAGAGAAAGATCTTCTTTATGATCTGGTGAGAAAGGGTGACAACAAGCTGCTGAATACACTGAAACTAGGAACGTCAGAAGAAGTTACCCATCAAGTTTTTATGTAACATCCAGGTTCATTTTGAGTATGTCATACCAAGATAAAGAAAACATTCTAACAGGTTTATCAGGGCTGCTTTTGTCTTTCAGCTGAAAAGACACAGTCCGACTAGTTGGAGTCCAGCTATGTTACAAATGTAGGCCCAGCAGGTGCCTGGTTTGAACGTTTTTGTACGTCTTCCTTAGTATTTCCTGACCGACTGTGATGAGTGACATTCTTCTGTACAATCTTTCCAGAGAGGAAGTTCCCTGTCCATCTCAGGGAACCACTGGTTGCGCCCCTCCGGCGTTAAAAGTTGCTAGACTGTCATTCCTGACTCACCGTCTCCAGCAGCGAGTCAGAGCATGTGTCCGGCCACACAATCCCTGTGAGAAACGGCCCTCGGAGGGCTCAAGATTTGAGAGGATGTGTGGGTGTCTTGCACGTGGGCGATTGAGTCTGTGTGTCACCGAATTAAATTTTCTTTGCGAGACTGTGGAAAAAAAAAACTGAGATTTGGCATGTGATTTGGGGAATGCGAGTGCATTGTAACATGATTGAAATCACTCCGTGTACCCTCCATCTCAGTTCCTGCTCTCTTCCTGAGATTTCACATGGGGCTCGAGTTACCGACCTGCTCGTGGCTTCTGCATTCTCACACGTCAAAAACTCTCTCTCTCTCTCACTCACACATGCACAGCCTGTTTGTCTTTCCTCCTTTTGAAAACTCGACCCGCACTTTCTTTCCTGGGCTGTAACTTTGTTACTTTTTTATTAAATTTGCTTCCCTCCCATATCAGCCTCTCCATTCCCAGGCTCACCTTTGTGTCCGTGCACATTACGACGCAGCAAAAATATTTGGATGTGGTAATAAGCCAATTGGAGGTGTCATCCTACACCTCAAAGTGTCAGATCACTTCTCCGTGCCCCCACTTTTGTTCTCTTGTGTGTGTGTGTTTGTGTGTGTGTGGATGGAGCAAGAAAGCATGGAAGGAGGTGACGAGGAAGTTTTCCTGAGGGCTGCACAAAAGTGAGCAAATATTTGGAAGCAAGTGCTGCCTGTGTTATCACTGTGTGTGCGAATGAAACTTTATCTGCTCCACAGTGTTTCATCTTTGCCTTTCTTGGGTTATGAGGTGGAGGTTCCCACAGCTTCATTCGCAGCACGCCATTTCTCATGTAACAGAACATCACACAAGCCTGTTGACTACCAAATACGAGAGGCAACCTGAAGGCTTTCAGATGAGGACATGCATTTAAATCTTTTTTATTTTTTATTTTTATTTTTTTACACATGTATAGTAATGTAAGCAATTAAAACAAGGAACTTTCGACTGTTGACAGTTTTATATGTCCACATATAATGGGCTAAAAAAAAAAAGTAACAGGTCTTTAAGGTACACACAACCTCAAGTGAATGGCAACTCACTGAGCTAAGATAAAATGTAGAAGCCTTGT